TTAGATGGGGCCACTTGGCTGATGCTTTGGGAATGGCTTCAGCCATCCCCGGGGTCTCCTGTCACCCTCTGATTTGGGTTTTTTCCCCATGAAATTCAGCTTAATGTAGCAGCTCCTGGGTGTCGGTCCCTGGAGCTGTGGCCTCATTTCCCGTCGCGCTGCTCTTTGCAGGAGCGATGAAAGATGCCGCGACTTGCTCCTCTTCCTCGGAGGACAAACTGATGCTTTGGGAATGGCTTCAGCCATCCCCGGGGTCTCCTGTCACCCTCTGATTTGGGTTTTTTCCCCATGAAATTCAGCTTAATGTAGCAGCTCCTGGGTGTCGGTCCCTGGAGCTGTGGCCTCATTTCCCGTCGCGCTGCTCTTTGCAGGAGCGATGAAAGATGCCGCGACTTGCTCCTCTTCCTCGGAGGACAAAGGTATTGTGGTACCATGTCCCTTCAGGCATCAAACTTTCGCTCAGGGCTGTCTGTGGTGGCAGTTCCCAGCCCCAGCTCCCACAAGCAGCTGCAGGAGGTACCTAGGCTGGTCCTGGCAATGAGAAAAAAAGTGCTTTGGGCTGGTTAAAATAAAGTCATTTGGGGGATTTTCAGTGGGATTTCTTGGCGCTCAGTCGTGGGGTGGCTGTGAGGCTGGTGCGGTGGGGTGGCTGGGGACGCTGGGACCCAGCACAGAGCCACAGTGCGCTGGCAGAAATAGCTTCCCTGGAAAGAAAAACAGCATTGGTGGCCAGTCCATCAGTGAGGTGGGAGGAATGCTGTGAAGGTGCACACCACTGCCATTTGAGCTGGTATCACATTTATGCTGGTCATCAGTATATCCTTTTGTGTGACCACCTCTTCTGTGACAACCACTGCCTCCTGACTGGGCTTATCAGCAGACTCATTAATGTTCTCCTAATCACTGATCACTAGAGTTATTCCAGCTGGTGGCTCCTGGCTGAGGGGGACTGGGGAGCCGCAGCCCCCAGTGCTGCATCTGTGGGGAGCAAGCGCTCCTGGGCTGCTTCTACATGGAGTCAGGAGTGGGTGTGGGACGGGGCTGTGGGCTGGCACTGAGCCCTGGAGCAGCAGCACTCCAGCTGCCCCCAGTGCTGGGGCCATGGTGCCCCCCACGCTGCACTCTTGGGACGGTGACCGTCACTGCTGGGTGAGAAACAGCCATGGAGGGAGACCCCCACCCACCCTGTGGCCATGCCTGGGGCTGTACACCCAGGGCAGGACCTGAGATTTGGCCTCTGTGTTGATTAGAGCGAGCTTTAATTAATGGCTGGATGGGAACGAGGAGGAAGGTGGCCCCTAGGGTGGGCGCAGTCATGATGGATGGCCTTGGGGACAGCCCCCACCAGCTGATGGGGGTCCCTGTGGTGCTGTGAGGATGCCTTCGAGACATCACCTCACCCCTGCGGAAGCTGAGCACAGCAGCAGCGATGCCGCTTTCCCTGTGGGAGCCAGCAGGCCTCGTGCAATGAGTTCACAAGTGCTCAGCAAGGTGGCCCCTAGGGTGGGCGCAGTCATGATGGATGGCCTTGGGGACAGCCCCCACCAGCTGATGGGGGTCCCTGTGGTGCTGTGAGGATGCCTTCGAGACATCACCTCACCCCTGCGGAAGCTGAGCACAGCAGCAGCGATGCCGCTTTCCCTGTGGGAGCCAGCAGGCCTCGTGCAATGAGTTCACAAGTGCTCAGCCACCCTCTGCACCCCCCCTCCAGACACCCGCACCTCGAGCGGGGACCAGGGACAAGCCGAGGCAGACGCTGGGCTCCTGGAGATATGAGTTTTATTAATGGCGCCATGGGGATGGGGGGACACAGACAGGGCATAGAAAAACACATCGAGGAGCGGCGCCCGGCGCTGGGGTGATGGGCACCGGCAGGGCCCC